TTTTTTTTTTTTTTTTTTTTTTGACTGGAACGACTATAATAATCAGGAGTGATTGGAAACAATAGTTATGCAACCTTTTTTGTTCTGACAACCTGTACCATGGGCAATATGAAAAAGGTGAATGATGTATAGACGAGTTTCATATGTTTCTTTCTTATTATTCACAAGTGGCAAACTTCCCGTGCGAATGTGTTAGCAACTCCAAAGAGTTTGAAAAGATTAACCGGCACGACGATTTTCTTTGGCCGTTTTCACACTAGAGACGGAGAACCCGTCTGGTATTTTTCCGCCATCTTTGATAGTGTGAATTTGAGATAGATGCACTTTAGAGGGATAGACACTGATAGACCAGGCCTTCGAAACTCTGGCGTGGCTACTAATTCATTTAAATGGCGGCAATCGCTCGCTTATTTGATGTCAAGAAAAGTGAAACTTAAAAAGCTTTAAATTTACCACTCTGAAAACGTTTCAGAGCCAGCCTCTGAAGGTTTATGCATCGAGTAGTTTGCTGCTAGAGCAAACTCTTAGGAATCCAAAACGAATGGAAGCCGGAATGAAACCATTTTTGGTGGAATAATGGCGCGGTTTTTTGCTTTTCTATGTGATATGGTCGGGCATGTTCCCAGGTTGGGGCATTCAGTGGCATTTGTCATAAGGTCTGAAAAAATGAGAACGACTTTGTTGTTTAGTGTTGAGTTTGTTTTCGTTTAGTTGCAGCACATGATTTGCAACTTGAAGCTGCTTTCCAGAAATTAAGAGAAAAACTTTATTTTTGGCTTTTCCCCAGGGTGGGCCATTTGAGCTCATTTTTAAAACCACACTCAGTGGGTCTCTTGCGTGGATCTGCTGCCCTAAACTTGGTTTATATGCAGTTCTCCGAAGAAAAAATTGCATACATTATGCCTGGCAAGTGTCTAAAACGGCCAAAAGGTAATGCTGCAGGCGCACCGTACAGGTGCCCCGAGAATTTATTTTATTTTAAGTGTCCAAGATCGGGCGTTTTTAAAATACAAACAAGAGAGGAATTGTTTAAAAGAGAGAGGCGGCGTTATTCTTATAACTGTAGCACGCTCAACAAAACTAAATAAATATGCTTTCAGAAAAAAATATCAAAAGATTTTATAAAAAGCAAAATATCCACTTCATCCATTGATATGCCTAGGCCGTCCAGAGATCCACATCGCTCTTTCAAATCTCAACGTCGATGTCAGACTCTTCATTCAGGGTTATTGTGCTGTCATCGTTAGGCTATCCTTTCTTTGAACATGACATTGACCAAGATGCAATGCGCAAACCCTTGTTAATCATGCGAGAGACTGACTGAATTAAATAAGTTTGCTCCTTTTTGCTATTTCCTACAAGCATAATTTTGGAATAGCTGTCACGGGGAGAGTCTATTAAACAGGGGGCGCTTATGAGAGAGAAGCGAGGCGTTTATTTGAGAGGGGGTGAATCAACCTCGTTCCCAGGGTTGTCTCCTAGCCTTCCTTGCGAAGCGAGAGAGAGAGAACCCTGGGAACGAGGTTTGGTGTAAACTAGCAGTAACCAAAGGTTACATAGGAAGTGTAGGCGAACATGTACGTTTACCTTAAAGGAGTGATTGATGTTGAGAACCACTTTCATAATTGTGTACGTGAATCGGAGAAAGCCATTTTAGTTCAGTGTCAACAAAAGGAATCACGGCGAATCATGCACGAGGAAACTGAATTGAACAACGTAGTAAACAATCGAATTCAACGATTTTATTTACAGTGGGTTAGATACAAATAGCCTACGAACCCAGCCTACGAAAGCGAGGAGAGACGGCTTAATTCGCAGGCAAAGGTACAATAAAAATAGTGATGTGTGATCTCTTAAACAATGCTCAACGAGAAATGTATACAGTCATGACTATACTCAGGGGCACCCAAAGATGGTTTTCTCCTAAATACATTGAAAACATTTTTTAGGCTGTCCAGAGTACTTTTGGATGTCTACAAATACATTCTAAGCGGCGCGGAGGGGAGGGGGGGGGTAGTACTCAACAAAGTTTTATACTAAGAGACTCCGCCCTGATCGTGCAACTCATTACCCTTTTGTATAACAACAACAACGACCTTTATTTGCATGACCATACAAACACATACGGCATTGCAAAAGCTATGTTTAGGAATCAAAATTACAACACAGGACAATTCTTGCTGTTCTTGCCATGTTGTAAGCTATAATTTCGCCTAGTTCTTGCTCTTGAAACGAGTGAAATGTCCGCCATTTTTTGTTTTCACAACCAAAACCACTCAACCTCGTCCTTAGGTCTTCTCAGTTAACGGTGCATTCACCTGCAAGAACGCTGCATTTTTGACGCCATTTCCTCGTTAAACACAAAATTATTCCAAAGTTGGTCATCAGTAACTGGTTATGGTGAATTAAACGTGTGCTTTTAGCCAATCAGAATTGGAGAAATATTTTGAATGAATAACAAATTAGTTAACGCATGACAAAGACGGATCACATAAGCTATCAAGGTTCTGTCCTGTGGACAATCCTGATTGCTGAATACAAGAAGATCAGAATCTCTAAACATTTTCAAAAACCGCATCAGAACGACAAATTTGAGCTTTCAGCGATAATTGTCAAACCGACTGTTCTTTTCTATGTAGTAATCAGAGTAATTACACGTCTTCATTAGCACGTACACTAAACGATCTTTCGATACTGGTTATACATTAACTAATACCTGTGTCAGGTAATCAAACAAGGATCTCATGCAGGGATTTTGAGGTTTGATTCAGATAGATCACTTCGAGCTAGTATGTTCTTGACCAGCCAAAAGGTAATCTCTTCCTCCTTCGTCATAGCCAGAGCAATGTCAAGAGAAATGCGATTTGCAATTGTTAAAATTACAAGCACTGACTTCAGCTGTGACTTGTTCCGACCTTCAGGTAGATTTCAAGTGAAATTTGAAGAGAAGGACGGTAATTTTTCATTAGGTTTTGTAAGACCAATTGGCCGGCAAAACTTGACAAAGTCAGTCCTTTGTACTATGATGGACATGCACTTCACGAGCCAAGCAAGGCAAATTTGCAGCTTTTTTGCAAAACTGGGGAAGCGGAATAAAACTCTGCACGTCACAACTCACGCTCGTCTCGCACTTCTCGTGAAATGCCCCATTCACCTCACTTGGTTTAAAGCACCCGTCATGCAGGCTAAGAGATGAGGAGAAAGACCGTACAGTCCCATACTGACCTCTATGTTGCAGGTAAAATATATTCTCATAAATTAATCCAGTCTCCCTTCAACCTACGTTGATTCAGAATTTCCTCTGTTATGACGGGAATGGTCTGGCCGGCAGTTCTGACAAATGGAAAGCACCGTAAGAGAAGGCTCTCACATGTAACATAATGTAACTTTTTAATGTTCTGGTTCTGTGAGTTACAACTCTTTCTGGCTGTTACCTAATGAACGTGACGAAGATCGAGTTCAGGTTACAATATACAGATAGATTTATTACTGACAATAAGGAAAGTTTGTTTCACCTGACCAGTAAATACTCTTTTGACAAAACCGAGGATGTTCAGTATTAGAATCACCACAAAATTTCAATCCGATTGTCTTTTTCGGATAACAAATAATCCAGAAGCACTTTTCAAAATGCACAAAATTAGTTTTATAGTGTTTAAAGAACAATTGACCGGAGACTAGATATAAGACTCCAAGTTTCCTCGACGTCTAACGTCACAGGTCCAACAGTGAAAACCACCTCCAAGGGAGTTGGCAAAGCGAAGAGAGACTGGAACACAGCTGATGCCAAGGCTTTCAAACATCTATGGAAAAAAAGATTTATTCTTTAGTCAAAGTATGGTGCTATAGTTGACATTACTACTGAAAGAATACAGAACAGTAAAGGCTTCGTAGCCTAATTACTTTTACTCAGCAGCGGTACTGACTGTTACATGCAAAACCGTGACATCTACAGAATTTTTTTTGACTTGGAATTAAGCGCTGATGAGGCTTAAATGATCTGTGTCAGTTTAGGTAAAGAAGAAACGAGATTTTTCTCCCCGGAATTGTCCAAAATTGCAAATTGGCATTCAGCTAAAAGGAATGCAAAGGTAGATCGCTCATGCTCGTGGACATAGGGTTTTTTGCTTTTTTCTTATTTAATCTTACTAGGGCCTAATGGTCTGACATGCAATTGCGTGTGTTTCGTTTTCGCGATTATGATCATTCATTAAAGCTACAAAATCGAACAGGAGCGCAAAATGACACGAGTTTTGAAAAGCGAACAAACAAAACAAAACAAAAACTTGGCGGTCAGTTCGTCAAGCAAACCTACCAGAAAAGAGAAGAGACGAAGAAACGTGAGGAAAAAGATTAATAGCTAGCAAGACAGAATACTGAAGCTTATGACGGCACACTACCTTTTGAGTGGTCTTCTCGTCTTTATCGACCACGACTCTTTTTGGATCCAACATGAGAACATTCATGGACAGCCACTTGGACGACATCCACATCGGGTGGGTGTCCGGCATTAAAGGGGTGGGTGACTTTATTACTGTCCAACCAGCCTTGTAAAACATGTCGATCTGATGACAAGGCCTGTCAGGATTGGACAGCACTAATCCGGGTCCGATTATGTTAAACGTTGCGTCGATGTGCATTGGATTTGGATCGTCAAATGACAGCTTGTGAACTCTATATCCTTGTTTACCCAAATGACGTCGCATCCATTCGATACCTAAGTTGTTAGTCACCTGAAATATGAACGGACAAAATGAACGATGCTGCGTCTTCTAATGATATAATGAAGCTTTAGAAAAGAGGACGACAGTAACGAGAATAATATCTATGCACGTGCCTCACCCTTTATTATTTGTACAGTTGTTTCATTCGAGAATGTGCAGTGAAATCCTATAACGCGACTTTTCATCTGTTTTATGGACGACGTAAACACAACCTCGATTTTTTTTCTTAGTCTTTCTAAACTTAAGTGCGGTCCCCATGAATTAAAGTCAAAAGGAAATCGCTTTCTTTTGACTTAACAGGCAGGTAAATCGGAAACTGAGTAGCAATGAGGCTTGAGGGAACGAAAATTAATTTTTAAGATGTTTTCTCCGCGCCTTTGTTATCGTCGTTGCTTAAGCTGTCCATTAAAGTGTTAATCAAGGAACCATCGTTTCCTGAAGTCAAGGCTATTTGGTTCAGTACCTGACAATATTTGAAAAAATAAACGCTGAATGCTAGTAACGATCACTCATAATAGAGCGTTTTCTCATACGAGACCAGTGAATTAGTTAGTTTCTTGGAACAAAAGAAAGTTTTTTCATGGTACAGCAAAATGGCCGCCGTAAGTTTCACTATTTAGGAAAACCAATGCAGCCGGACGTGAAGTCCCATGAAAACGCTCAATACTAAGTCCTGTTCCACACAACCATCGCTCAAAAACTGTCCAATGCATTTCAGTGGTATTATCTACGTATCGCTGTTATAACGTTGAGCCAAAAATATTGCATGGTACAAGAGTAGCACGGCCAGCTTAAATTTTTTATACCTGACTTCTTTGGACGAAAATATCCCGCCCTGCTCGAATGAAGTCCGCAGCGTCAAAACACGGTTCAAACTCAGTGGTAACAAACTTTCCTTCGGCTGCCAGCTGATGCCTGTCCTCAACTGTCTGTGTCGGGTAATTCTGAGGACATAAATGTAAAAGATAAATAGTTTACTTAATATATTGTTATAAGTTATTTGCATTGGTAACTTAAGTTGGCAACAAAATCGAGTCAAATGGCCCAGACATTTGCTTTGCAACCCATGTGCACACTTTATCCTCAGTTCTCAATAAAAAGAGTAAGGCTCTTTGTTAAAGATAATACGTGGAAGGAGGGATTGAGCTTTAAATCCTTCCTGAGCCCTGATAAAAATCGACCTGGATGGCTCCTTGTAACCATGAAGGCGTTAAAATTTAAGATTTTTACCTGATCATACAGGTCGTCACTCATAAGTGGCTTAGGCGCAGTAGTCCATTTGGCACCTCGTTTAAAGTACTCCTTGAGAAGGGGCCTGTAAGCGCGGTATTCAAAGAACCGTGATCGCCAGGCCATGGGGGCCTCGATGATCTCATCGCCGACAACCATCAGAATGTCTCGTGGCATAGCTGCGTACATCCCAGAAGAGGTAAAATCTGGAGTCGTGTAAACCTACAAAGAACGGAGGTGACGATGCAAAAAAAATCGGTAGGCATTTGGAAGGGACATCGATGAAGAATGAGTGATCTTTGTTTCATGCGAGGTACAATCTATGGAAGCCGCCTCTCCCGTGTTTGAAGCCTGGGTATATAGATGAAGAGAAAGACGAAGCGCCTAAGAAGCGATTGTCCCCTTCAGAGAGTGTAAGTTTTTTACCCTTATTTTTTAGAATTTCTTTTCTCTACTACCAGGCACTGCAGGATCCTGGAAGAAATTGTTGCGAATTATTCAAAAGTTTGAGAAGTTTAAGAGCTTATATTAAAACTACCAATGACATGTAAGTTAAATACATCAACAGTTTGTTTCATAAACTGTCAGAATTATTAAAAATTCGTTTAAATATAATTTTTTTTGACTTAAAATGGCGACCATGAACAAGAAAAAAGATCTAGACATGGTACTAAAATGTCTATCTGTGATTTTCAGTGTTTATTCACTATGCTTTTCAGTCCAAAATTCTTCATTAAATAATTGTAGTTAGAAAACAAATTCTGGGCTTATGAGCAGTTTTACCTTTGAGAAGTCGATTGCTTCAGGACGACGCACAACGACTCCTTCGTGCCGTAAAATCTTACAAAATTCCTCCACCTCGGCATGTGCTTTCCTAAGATGTTCTTCAGGAAAAGATCGACCTGCAAAACGGCGGAAGAATGACCAGTTCTTCTCATAAGTGTTTGTTTTCACTTCAGCAGAGAACTCCGGTACGGTAGCACCTGAACAAGGACAAAATCAGCATTAATTACTCAGATGAACGTAATGGGCAGAATCCAACTGCTGAACTTCGGTCAAAACTTTTATCCTGATTTTATGATTCTTCCATTAAGGTATTGTAACTCATTTTAGTTTTATCTAATCGTACAAAATGTGCTTGGCTCTTGTAGTGACAAAGGGTGATACTGCACGGTAATCAGTTTAAAGTAGTGGTTTTTTTGCGTTTGTGAAATTATATTTACGTTTCGATTGTATATATATAATCATATATAAGGTTATACACCCTTGTAATCATGCATTGGCCGACCGTCTTCCGTTATTACAAATGTCTATCAAAATGTGTTTGCTCTCCCACCCAGTTGATTGTGAATTGCTTGAAATTACTGTCTGTCAGACTCTATCAAGTGTTAGTCCGACAGTTCCTCATTTCTTGTTCCGCCTCAAAACCACAAACTAATTACCGTTGCTGTTTGCGGTTTAGTTATCTCGCGCCTTATTGGCTAATTTCCCATAAGACAATTTCATAAATATTTCTGGTGTTCACGGTTTTGTGAGTTTCACAGCAAAAGCAGAGCATGAATGCATTGCAGTTCAATGTATTTTACTGCACCTTCAACGCGTCCAACAATGACTTCCTCGAGAGGATCCCATTCATTATATGAACACACTGGGCTCTTTAACTCATCTGGTCTTTCTCTTTGATCCAAGTCATCGGGAAAATCCTGCTTGGATTTGGCTGAACAAGTCTTTACTTGAGTACCAGCAGTAGAGCTTGCTCTACTCCTTGCTACAAGCGTTGAACATGCTCGCCATAACTGCAAAAACAAACAAATTCAAAGGAAGAACAAACAAGCATAAAGAATTAAGCTTGAGCATATAATATTCATTTTACCACAATAACATTAACTTTATTATATTGAACAGATATAATTTCATCAATATGGAGAATTTAGGAAACCCTTACGGGTTTTTACAAGATTCACCTATTGTTTATTATTATTGTTATACTAAATTATCTTTTAATTAGGTCTGGACGCCATATGCAGCATAATCTAACTAATGCATAAATCTAACTATAAATTAATTTCAATTAATTATTATTCATTCAAAATATTCCCCCGATTCTGATTGGCTAAAAACACACGCATAATTCACCATGACCAGATACTGATGACCAAATTTGGAAGAATTTTGCGTTAAATGAACCGATGACGTCAAAAGTGCAGCCTTCTTGCGGGTTAATGCACCGTTAACCGAGGAGACCTGGGGACGAGGTTGAGTTGTTTTAGTTGTGAAAACAAAAATGGCGGACATTTCACTCGTTTCAAGAGTAAGAACTGGGCGAAATTATAGCTAAAAACATGGCAAGAACAGCAAAAACACAACTTGAAGGGCGACATCTGCTATTTGGAGAATATTTGCAGAGCAGAACAACTCTAAACGTGCACTATCGAAGATGAACTAACATCGATGGAGGTAAGCATGTTTTAGCTTCGCTTTTAAACTAGGAATTATTTTAAATGAATAATAAAACAATTATTGAATTCGGCTTTCGTATCATATGAAGAATTATGGAGATCTCGGAGGGTATTATCCGCATCGGCCACCCTCCTCGATCTCCATAATTCTTCATAAGATACTCAGCCTCATTCCTTAATTGTTAATTTAAAAACTTGCCTACCACTAAGCATTTTCTAAACACTGTTGTGACAAAAAATACTTTTTTAGTTTCTTTTTTATATTATATTGTGATTTTTTTGTTCTTCAAATCTTCTGGTATAGAATTCCACAAATTCTCTTTACACTCTGTATTGAATAATAGCCGTAGTTTGTTCTGTAAAACTGCTTATGTATATTATTGCTTCGCCGTGTAGCATACAAATGAAGTTGACTATTCAAAATGTAAATATCCCTAAAATAATACGGCAACTTATTATTAAATAGGTCAACCATAAAAAGAACAGTTTGCTGATTATTTAACTGATAAACATTTAAAGGATCTCCAATTTTTGGAAGAGCAGCTTTGATGACTCAGCGTACGAGGAAAAAGTTATCACAAGTACTACTTTCTTTTGAATTTTGATTAGACTATCAAGTCTTGGATTGTAATTATTACCCCAGACAATAATACCATAAATAAGATAAGGGTATATCAATGAGTAATACAGACTTAAAAATAAATCCTTCCCTATATGTCATTGTCTCCAATTGGCTTCATTGTCTCCAAGTACAAAAAAATGCAATGATCCTGGAAACTTACCCGACTGACTTTGAACTCGAACTTTAGACTTAAGCTTAAGTTTTACTCATAGTTGAGTGGATTGTCTCAAGCTATTCAAAACTTTGAAGCTCGGAAAACGTCAATGTATAATAGTTTCATTAAAACTGAAATATTTTTTTCTGCTGTTCAAGCACTACATCTATTTTTAAGAGACCGGGCAATAAAGATTATAGGCAATTCCTAGGGATGGTCAACGATTTCATGCTCAGTTTCCTGATGAATGACTAGTGTTTGCTGTTGGTAGAAAATGTCTTTAACCCGAGATTTCTCATTGTTTTAATCTTGAAGTTGTCCGTCCAGACAAGTGTATGCTGATTTCTTCATGGAGGAAAACATTAGCTTTGAAACCTACCAATCCAAATTTCTCTACCTCCCGTCCACGGCAACCACCCTTGATTATTCGCACGTTTAGCATATTGAAATTGACTAAAGCTGAAAGAAAAAAAAAACATAATTTTAACCATATATATAAAGTCGAAAACAGTCCAAAACAAAAATCGTCAAACTTTTCTTCCAACTTTTCTTCTAACGCCAAACTGCCAAGCTTCAAAAACGCGCGTGTTATCTTTTCAGAAAACGTCAGCGCAAAATTGATTCCTATAGAGTTCTAAAGTGTGAGGTCATTAAAAAATAAATTTGAGAAATTATGGGATTTGTCAAGATATTTTGAAAGAAAAACATCCAAGAGGCCTACTTGCCAAAAACTAACATTTTGGGGCAAATTGTCTCTGAGATATTAGCCCAGTTATGCTCCAATGACTCTAGGAGTCATCATTTTTGTGACGTCATCACTTTAGAACTCTATTGTCCGCCATTTTTAACATGTCTGGCAAAAATAAAACAACAAATGTCTGGCAAGTGCATGGAGAATTACACGAAGAGGACAGAAAATTAGTGTTTGCTATATAATTGCGAAATCTGATGTGCACAAGCGCGGCAGAAATGCTGGTTGAGCGATCTAAATCTAACTCTAACTCTAATAGATCTAATTCTGTGAGAATCTCCCACATGGGATATATGTGCACAAGGAGCGGTCAGCGGTTTTTACTCCTGGGTCCAGTTGTTATGAAGGTCGATTAGCGCTTAACCCAGGGTCAAATTTGACCCGGGTTTCTTTTCCTTTTGCTCAAAAGCATTTTCTCGGACAATTTTCTCTGATATTCATAGAGCATCGAATCATCAACTTGTTGACAAAAAGAACTAAACTGAATTTAGTTTATAAGCTTTCATGTTTGAATTCAAATTTTGCACTAACCCCGGATTATCTTAACCCAACTTTGAACAACCCGGCCCGGGATTTTACTGATTAAATCGTTAATGTCTTGGCCTCCCAAAAGGAAAGACTTACAGATAAAGATCCATGCAACTTAGAAATCAAAGTGGCAAGGAAGTTTTATAATAACGCAAACCGGTAATGACGCAAATTTACTTCACAGGCACCTAAATAATATTTTATAATCAGTTGAGCACGTACCGTTTGTGATTCTTACGACTTACCGTTGCCCCAAATTTCAGTCAAAACCTTAAACCAATATTTTTAGACAGGAAACCAAGTCAACCAGTCTTGCCAGTTAATGTATGCGGAGTCTAATGAATACCATTTATTTTCCAGTCACTTCTTGCAATCTGTCTTCACAGCTTATTTTACCGTTTTAGTTCAGTGGTCAAAAACCTAATTATTGGTAAGGATTTTTTCGTATGCTAATTTCCATGCAACGTTCACAAAAGCGTCATTGTTATCAATTCCTTTGAAGTCGTCTGCTGCACGTTCATTAAACATTACTGTACGATTCTGCCAATCTAAAAAAGGCGCTCAACCGTCTTCCGTTATTACAAATGTCTATCAAAATGTGTTTGCTCTCCCACCCAGTTGATTGTGAATTGCTTGAAATTACTGTCTGTCAGACTCTATCAAGTGTTAGTCCGACAGTTCCTCATTTCTTGTTCCGCCTCAAAACCACAAACTAATTACCGTTGCTGTTTGCGGTTTAGTTATCTCGCGCCTTATTGGCTAATTTCCCGTAAGACAATTTCATAAATATTTCTGGTGTTCACGGTTTTGTGAGTTTCACAGCAAAAGCAGAGCATGAATGCATTGCAGTTCAATGTATTTTACTGCACCTTCAACGCGTCCAACAATGACTTCCTCGAGAGGATCCCATTCATTATATGAACACACTGGGCTCTTTAACTCATCTGGTCTTTCTCTTTGATCCAAGTCATCGGGAAAATCCTGCTTGGATTTGGCTGAACAAGTCTTTACTTGAGTACCAGCAGTAGAGCTTGCTCTACTCCTTGCTACAAGCGTTGAACATGCTCGCCATAACTGCAAAAACAAACAAATTCAAAGGAAGAACAAACAAGCATAAAGAATTAAGCTTGAGCATATAATATTCATTTTACCACAATAACATTAACTTTATTATATTGAACAGATATAATTTCATCAATATGGAGAATTTAGGAAACCCTTACGGGTTTTTACAAGATTCACCTATTGTTTATTATTATTGTTATACTAAATTATCTTTTAATTAGGTCTGGACGCCATATGCAGCATAATCTAACTAATGCATAAATCTAACTATAAATTAATTTCAATTAATTATTATTCATTCAAAATATTCCCCCGATTCTGATTGGCTAAAAACACACGCATAATTCACCATGACCAGATACTGATGACCAAATTTGGAAGAATTTTGCGTTAAATGAACCGATGACGTCAAAAGTGCAGCCTTCTTGCGGGTTAATGCACCGTTAACCGAGGAGACCTGGGGACGAGGTTGAGTTGTTTTAGTTGTGAAAACAAAAATGGCGGACATTTCACTCGTTTCAAGAGTAAGAACTGGGCGAAATTATAGCTAAAAACATGGCAAGAACAGCAAAAACACAACTTGAAGGGCGACATCTGCTATTTGGAGAATATTTGCAGAGCAGAACAACTCTAAACGTGCACTATCGAAGATGAACTAACATCGATGGAGGTAAGCATGTTTTAGCTTCGCTTTTAAACTAGGAATTATTTTAAATGAATAATAAAACAATTATTGAATTCGGCTTTCGTATCATATGAAGAATTATGGAGATCTCGGAGGGTATTATCCGCATCGGCCACCCTCCTCGATCTCCATAATTCTTCATAAGATACTCAGCCTCATTCCTTAATTGTTAATTTAAAAACTTGCCTACCACTAAGCATTTTCTAAACACTGTTGTGACAAAAAATACTTTTTTAGTTTCTTTTTTATACTATATTGTGATTTTTTTGTTCTTCAAATCTTCTGGTATAGAATTCCAAAAATTCTCTTTACACTCTGTATTGAATAATAGCCGTAGTTTGTTCTGTAAAACTGCTTATGTATATTATTGCTTCGCCGTGTAGCATACGAATGAAGTTGACTTTTCAAAATGTAAATATCCCTAAAATAATACGGCAACTTATTATTAAATAGGTCAACCATAAAAAGGATAGTTTGCTGATTATTTAATTGATAAACATTAAGGATCTCCAATTTTTGGAAAGAGCGTCTTTGATGACTCAGTGTACGAGGAAAAAGTTATCACAAGTACTACTTTCTTTTGAATTTTGATTAGACTATCAAGTCTTGGCTTGTAATTATTACCCCAGACAATATTACCATAAATAAGATAAGGGTATATCAATGAGTAATATAGACTTAAAAATAAATCCTTCCCTATATGTCATTGTCTCCAATTGTCTTCATTGTCTCCAAGTACAAAAAAATACAATGATCCGGGAAACTTACTCGACTGACTTTGAACTCGAACTTTAGACTTAAGCTTAAGTTTTACTCATAGTTGAGTGGATTGTCTCAAGCTATTCAAAACTTTGAAGCTCGGAAAACGTCAATGTATAATAGTTTCATTAAAACTGAAATATTTTTTTCTGCTGTTCAAGCACTACATCTATTTTTAAGAGACCGGGCAATAAAGATTATAGGCAATTCCTAGGGATGGTCAACGATTTCATGCTCAGTTTCCTGATGAATGACTAGTGTTTGCTGTTGGTAGAAAATGTCTTTAACCCGAGATTTCTCATTGTTTTAATCTTGAAGTTGTCCGTCCAGACAAGTGTATGCTGATTTCTTCATGGAGGAAAACATTAGCTTTGAAACCTACCAATCCAAATTTCTCTACCTCCCGTCCACGGCAACCACCCTTGATTATTCGCACGTTTAGCATATTGAAATTGACTAAAGCTGAAAGAAAAAAAAAACATAATTTTAACCATATATATAAAGTCGAAAACAGTCCAAAACAAAAATCGTCAAACTTTTCTTCCAACTTTTCTTCTAACGCCAAACTGCCAAGCTTCAAAAACGCGCGTGTTATCTTTTCAGAAAACGTCAGCGCAAAATTGATTCCTATAGAGTTCTAAAGTGTGAGGTCATTAAAAAATAAATTTGAGAAATTATGGGATTTGTCAAGATATTTTGAAAGAAAAACATCCAAGAGGCCTACTTGCCAAAAACTAACATTTTGGGGCAAATTGTCTCTGAGATATTAGCCCAGTTATGCTCCAATGACTCTAGGAGTCATCATTTTTGTGACGTCATCACTTTAGAACTCTATTGTCCGCCATTTTTAACATGTCTGGCAAAAATAAAACAACAAATGTCTGGCAAGTGCATGGAGAATTACACGAAGAGGACAGAAAATTAGTGTTTGCTATATAATTGCGAAATCTGATGTGCACAAGCGCGGCAGAAATGCTGGTTGAGCGATCTAAATCTAACTCTAACTCTAATAGATCTAATTCTGTGAGAATCTCCCACATGGGATATATGTGCACAAGGAGCGGTCAGCGGTTTTTACTCCTGGGTCCAGTTGTTATGAAGGTCGATTAGCGCTTAACCCAGGGTCAAATTTGACCCGGGTTTCTTTTCCTTTTGCTCAAAAGCATTTTCTCGGACAATTTTCTCTGATATTCATAGAGCATCGAATCATCAACTTGTTGACAAAAAGAACTAAACTGAATTTAGTTTATAAGCTTTCATGTTTGAATTCAAATTTTGCACTAACCCCGGATTATCTTAACCCAACTTTGAACAACCCGGCCCGGGATTTTACTGATTAAATCGTTAATGTCTTGGCCTCCCAAAAGGAAAGACTTACAGATAAAGATCCATGCAACTTAGAAATCAAAGTGGCAAGGAAGTTTTATAATAACGCAAACCGGTAATGACGCAAATTTACTTCACAGGCACCTAAATAATATTTTATAATCAGTTGAGCACGTACCGTTTGTGATTCTTACGACTTACCGTTGCCCCAAATTTCAGTCAAAACCTTAAACCAATATTTTTAGACAGGAAACCAAGTCAACCAGTCTTGCCAGTTAATGTATGCGGAGTCTAATGAATACCATTTATTTTCCAGTCACTTCTTGCAATCTGTCTTCACAGCTTATTTTACCGTTTTAGTTCAGTGGTCAAAAACCTAATTATTGGTAAGGATTTTTTCGTATGCTAATTTCCATGCAACGTTCACAAAAGCGTCATTGTTATCAATTCCTTTGAAGTCGTCTGCTGCACGTTCATTAAACATTACTGTACGATTCTGCCAATCTAAAAAAGGCGCTCGAAAAGCGCGTGTGACTGCTGCTGGAGAGTAAAATGCATTTGTAACGAGTTTGAATGCTTTAGAATGCATTGCAATGTTTCTCAATTATTTTTAACGCATTTTTCAGATTTTAACCTTTGCCATGAATGCGTGCAACAATGATCATTACCATTTTTTTTGGCGTGACAATAGAAATGAAAGCGAAAGGTCAACGCGGGACACGCAGTCACTGCATCATGTCCTTTTTGCAATGCTCTGCAAATGGTCTAGCTAGTCTCCTTTGCAGTCGTAAGAAGATTTTCGTAAGACTTTTGATCTTTCGTGACATTGCTTGGAAGACTCACTAGACCGGAGAGGAACCTCGGAAATTTATACCTTGACCAGGAGCCGATTAGTAATCGGCTCCCCCATGCCTTGACCGCGCTTTGAAGTCGATAAATTGCCATTAAATAACAGAATCATCATTTAAATAGAATTTTTAAAGGACAAAAACTCGAAAAATATTCTGTTTCATCACTACGTGTGTTGCGAATTGCGTGTCATTTGCCTGGAAAATGAAAATCCTTGGTGAAACTTGATCCTGTGAACTACTTCGTTGCCTAGCACGTGGCCGAAAGTTCATTTGATACCAAAAGTAACTATGCCGATTTTTTCACAGGAGTTGATTTGGAGAGGAGAAATCTGTTATACAAATATCGTGGTTTCTGGACGTATTCTGAAGATGAGAAGATACGCTTCTTGAGAAATAATGAATTTCATTGCCTTTTCGTTCGGTTACACGAGCTATCAAAGCAGACCACGAGGCAGCCGAGCATTTCGTCTGTCATCGAGGACCATTTTTGAGAAATCAAGTTTAAAAAGTGGCCTCTAGGCAGCCGGTTCTCAATTTAATGACAAGTAAAAAACAAATACCTGAAAAGTTGAGCTACTGCTGAGGCCCGATTACGATCACCTAATATATCTCTTTCAGCATCCCAAGGTCAGGGAGTGGATGGGCAACTGATATTACAAGAACCGCCAAAAAGGCGATTTTAACCGGGCTGCTAATTTTCCTGGGGGAGGGGGTGGCTACACACTTAAGGCCGGTACACACGAGGGGTTTTGCTCCCGGAGCATGCTCCAGGCTCATTTTGCACGTGTCAGTACACACGAGGGAGCGTTTTCAAGTTCGCTCAAATTGCCCCGGGAGCTTGCTCCCAAATATTTAACCTGTTAAATATCGTGGAGCATTTTGCGGGGTGGAAATTCTGCTCCCGAGGATGAAGTATACCCATGAAATCGTGATCGTTGGTACACACGGAGGAGCTTTGCTCCCGGAGGGTGTCCCTGGAGCATGCTCCGGGAGCAAAATCCCTCGTGTGTAGCGGCCTTTCACTGTTCAACGTCTTGTATATTTTTCAAAAATGGTGAAAAACAAAAGCAAATATAGCGTTGTAAATAGCTTAACCTACGAACTGCAGACGTTTCTCCTCGCTCATCTCCGCTGAGGGACGTCCCTCAGCGGCGATGAGCGAGGAGAAACTTCTGCCATTCGCAGGCTATAAATAGCTTTTAAAAGCGAAAACATGTAATTTGCAATAGAATTAAGTATGGTCAATCTAAGCTGATCTTGCTTGAATCCATAAAAACAAATACAATGTGCAGAACGCATTGTTAACATAGTATCTACATATCCGATTATCTTAGAATGGAAATTTTCCTATATAAAAAAAACTTAATTGAAAACTGAGATGGCGTCCAAACCGTAAAATCGCATGGCATACAGAACGGTTACTACCTCATGTACGGTACACAAATAGTAAGCGTTCTCCTTCGTCGAACGCAACAAGCAGTACATTTCTAAAACTAACAAAGCAAATTAAATTTGAGTTTTGTTTTTGTCTGATTTTGCCTATAAAGCCTTTCTAACTGTCCTAGTTAATATACAGCTATTTCGAGAAAGGTTGTCGGAAAAAGTGCACGCGACAATCCCGAAAGGTATTGTGGGTGGTTTTGAGTTCACTGTTGTTCGAAGAAATTTGAAAGAATGACACGAGAGGCCATGGTGCTAAAGGAAAGCAACAAAAGTAGGTTCGAGAGGTACTGTGCCAGGAACAGTGTATTGATCATATCCCAAATTACCTTTCGGGATTGTAGCGTGCACACATTTTTTCCGACAACCTTTCTCGAAATAGCTGTATATAATATTTTTTTGACGTGGTGATCTACGAAGAGCACATTCCACAGGACATTCCTTTCCTGTAAAGAATGACTTTTCACACAGTGAGCAAGAATCGCAATAAGATAAAAAGATACATTGGCCGTCACATTTTAAACGATTTAAACTTCAACATAAAGAAAAAACTTAAAAACGACCCATCCTACCATCTTTTGAAAATGGTACTGATAAAAAGTGCCAATGACAGCTTGAGAGAAATCTTTATTCAATGAGTGTACACACACACACAGCGACACGCACCCCAGCCACAAACACAAAGAGATTTGCAATCACGTTTTGGAAGGGAAAAAATCATCCAAAGCTTTAAACTTCCACACATAGTGAAGAAAAACCCCACAAGGTATTCATCGTAGAATCTTTTGAAGAAGACGATGAAAAAGCGCAGTACGCTAACTTCAAATACATCGTCATTTAATGGCTGCCTTCGCTTAACTTGG